AAAAGGCTGCTCATCTTGAAGTCTGAAGCATCTATTTGTTCCTGAATTTTTCCGAGAAGCTACACATCAGAACCACAGTCCACACCAGAGACTTTTGTTAGAGTCTGGTGGATACTGATGGCTGACTGTCCCCATCTCCATTTCCAACTCCTTATCCCTTGCCTGCTGTCCTCCAAATTCCATTTCCCAACCTCCTTTGCCTCTGGATGAGGCCATGTGACACAGTTCTGGTGAAAGAGATGTACCTTGTAAMCTGCAGGGCTGCCTGTTCCCTCCCCACCCCTTCCTGCTTGGAACAGGGGTCTGAGGTCGATGTACGAGGATGCACCGCAGCACATTCTGGGATGGTGGAGCACAAAGATGGAAGGAGCCTGGATCCCTGAAGGCATGACTGAGCACGTCTGTGCTGCTTACCTCTGCACTGTCACTTGAGGAAAAGAGTCCCCTCTCCCTTCTTAGGTTTAAACCTCTGTGTTTGGGAGTTTTGTTACATGCAACCGAATGCATTCTTTTTTTTTTTTTGGCAGTGCTGGGGATCGAGTCCATGGCCTTGTGCATGTTAGGTGAGCACTCTGCCACTGGGCCAAACCCCCAGCTCCCAGATGCGTTCCTGACACAGTAAGCTAGCACTTGCCTGCAACCATCTTCTCTTAAATTCTTTCTAGGGGTCTAGAACATTTCCTGCCCTCACACCTCAGAAGACATAATGACAGAATTAATTATATAATTCTTAGTTACAATTATTCCAACAGTAATGATCACTTCCTCAATGCCTCCTGACAACTAGGAACTAGATTAAGTGAATCTTATCCTCACAATCATCTACTATTATTATCCTCATTCTCAGGTGATGAAACGGAGGCTCAGAAATGACAGCTAACTCGCTTCAAGCCACTCAGCTAGAACGCTGAATCTGCGCTCTGAACCTACGTCTGCCTGACTCCAGAATCTGCTCCTCACCTAGAGCAGGTCTAGTTCAWCAGACTGATCTAACAAGTAGGGAAACTGAGATCCAGGAGGGAGAGTAACTTGACAAAGGCCACACAGTGACTTCAGGGGATCCTGCTACAAGAAGTGAGGCCTTCTGGGTCTTTGTTCCAGGGCTCTTCTGTGACAACCTGCTGCTTAGCAAATGATGGGACTTGAAGTCCAGGCTGACGTCTGGGGGCTGCTGGGAGCTTCTGAAGGTTCTAAGCAGAGTTAGGAGAGTACTCCACCTGCTGAAGGAGGGCCGTGGAAAGCTTTTCTTCCTTTAACTATGGCAGAAGGAGAGGGCGGAAGGGATTGACATTTTACAACCCCAGTAACCTCTTGAGCAATTACTGTTCCTTAGCCAGACAGTTGCTCTCTCCCTGGGCTCCTCCGTCATAGGCAGCTGGGCCTCCTGATCCCAGGAGCTGATGTCTGATGCTCTGCAGATTACTCTGATGGCGGGGAGTGGGAGGATACCAGTGGCATGAGCACTCAGCCACCCTGTGCCAATCCGATGGCGACAGCTGCCTAGTGTTGAGGTCTGTAGGTCAGGGGACCCTGCAGTGGAAACTCCCCAGATGAGCTTGGGGACTCTCCACTTTCCAACATCTCACTTGTTTATCTTTCTTCTTGGCCTGCTGTCTCCAGGATTTGAGTGTTTGTTTTAAAGACACAGGACTGAAGATCCAAGAGAACCAGCCACGGGGTGTAGCAGGTAGTTGATTAAGCTTGTAATGTTGAAATCAAACAGATCAGGGCTCAWATCCCATCTCCACCTAATAGCCTGTGGCCTTTATCAAGTCAGTTGGTTTTCCTGTTTATACAAATAGGAACCAGAAGAAAAGCTACCTCATGGGACTGAGGTAGATGATGTACCCAAAAGCCTCAGTATCTTGAGTGCTGTCTAGAAAGTGGTCCAGCTGTAAGCCACTTCCTCTGCATGATCTAGGGAAATCTTTGAGGCCTGAGTTTTCCCTTTCACATAAACTAGCATGGAGACTAAGCAGGTAAAGAGAACTTTCCATGGAACCTTCCTGCTCAGGAAGGGAAAGTAGGGGAGAGGCAGTCAAGAACCCACACTGAGYTCCCACTGACAGCTGGGGATGCTCATACAGACTATCTCATGTCATCCTCACAATGACCCCTTATGAAGACAGAATCATTAAACCCACTTTACAGATGGGGAAGCTGAGGCCCACAAAGGGCAGCTGGCTGTTGAATGAGAGCTGGGGATGGGGGCTTGGGGCTGGAATTTGAAGAGTTGTTGGGTTGATTCCAGAGCGTTGCTGCCTGACTGTGAACCTGCCCATAGAGGTGGGGCTGGGTGGGGCMGGGCCCCTGAGTGATTCAGTTAGGAGTCAGCTCTGGATTTCTAAACAGTGGGTGGGGCCCAGCAGCAGTAGGCAGGGGGATTGCAGAGACAGAAACCTCACCTTTTGTTACCAATGGGGTATAGGGAAGGGGTTCCTGCTGACTTGACTGGGAGGAGCTCAGGGCCTGGGCTGAGCTCAACCTGTGGGACTCTTGGAACTGCTGATCAGTGTGCCCAACTGAGGAAGGCAGAGTCACCGAGGCAGGCACCGACACTTTCAAAGGTTGTCACAGTARAAGGATGGGTTGGTAGTCACCTGGATGAACCGGCCCTGGACCCCTCTCTCACTTACAGAAGGTCTACATTTAATGATTTGCCAGAGCAACAACATCACTGGAGGTTTCTATCTGCAGATATTGTGCTTGGCCTTGGCCTTTAGAATGACCAAGACACTCAGAATCCAGTAAGGAGGAGACAGGGGTGACCCAGGCAGCCCTGCTGTGACTGGGGAAGGCACAGGAGCTGCCTAAGGGAGAGAACAGGGGGAGGGATTTCAGAGGAAGCTTTCCAAGGCCACTGGAGCAGACCGGAGAACTCACCATCGTAGGCTCAGCAAACCTCCTGACCATTCAGGCTATAGGGTTTGGAGCAGAGGGGCTGGGAAAGGCGGCCTTGTGTGGTGGCCCCTCTCCCAGGGCTGGGACAAGGGCAAGCTCAGACATCTCCCCTGTGAATTCAGCTGCATGCTGGACCCCTCCCGTGAGGTGCACCAAATCCAAACTCCATCTAGCCCAGCTGACTCCCCTTCCGTCTCCAACACCAAGCCAGAAGCCTAGGTTCCCTCACCATCTCTTCCCAGTGCCAGCTGGGCAGTGAGCCCTGGAACTTTGGCCACCATTTCACCTGTCCTCCTATTCCATGCTTCTGTCCAGCCCGTCACTGGAGGACGGCACTGCACTGTGTCCTCTCTCTTGGCCTCCCCGTCRGTGCGTCCATCTTGAGACCTGCAGTGTTGGTCACCAAGCCTGGTCATTCASTTCCTGCTGGAACTGGATATGTCCTCAGAAACAATCTGATCTGGTCATCCTGCTGTGCAAATGGGAAACAGAGCCCCAGAGAAGCCCAGAGTTTTGTCTGAGGTTATAGCGTGGAAAAAGTGAGACTTGAACTCAATTCTCCCGATTTAAGGTGCTTCCCCTGTTTCCAGGGTCACACAGTGTTTGTTGTTCTGAGTACAGGCTGGGGGGCTTGGGAGTAAGGTGCTGGCAGGAGGTACAAGCATGGTAAGTCGCTGGGCCCAGGGCACACAGGGAGGGAGAGCCTGGGAATGGAGGATGGAACCCCATTGCAGCTCCTCTCATTTCTCACCACCAGAAAGTCTACTTTTCTCTGGGCAATTGGACCCCAAATCTCCACCTTGACCCCATCCCTCTTGCTAATAATCCCACGGCTCATGTCTTCTTGCCTGTCTTGGTAGTTATCAAGGGGCCTGCATCTGGTGTGGTGGGAAGGCTAAAGCTGGCCCCAGCACCCTCAGGGGCCCAGTCCCTCCCCAAGTCTGCCCTGGCTTGCTCTGTCTCCCTGGGGCAGCTGGCGTGGTTCCCAGTAGAGCATGGGAACAGCTCTGGCATGAAGGGAGGAGGGGCACCCAGCAGGTCTCACCTCTCCCTCCTGGCATGGTTCCCACCTGGCACCCAGAGATGTCTGGGAGCTGGCACCAGGATCTCGGATCCTTCTGCCAGGCCTTCTCACCGTGATGCCCACAGAGTGGTGGGGTGTGCTGGGATAACGGAGGAAGAGGAACTGAGGGTGTGTACTGTGACATTGGCCCTGTTCCTTGTCCCTCCTAGGTTCTGTCTACCCAGCTGTGAAAAAGAGGATCCAGATGCTGGGATTCTGTAAAGTGTCCAGCTAGAGCATCAGACCTGGCCCTGAAATTTGAGTTAGGAAATCTTTGGGGGRAAAAGAGAGAGAAATAAAGAAGCCTCTTGCTACCTGAGCACCTACTGCATGCCAGCTCCAAGGTATTGAAGCGTACAAAACACTTATGGGATGTTTTTGTTGTTATGCCCATTTTATAGATGAAAATACTGAGGACCAGCAACAGTTAGTACCTTGTCCAAGGTAACACAGCTAGTAGGCTGTGAAGTCTGGACTTAAACTCGGGTCTAGATTTGAATACTTGCTTTGATTCTTGTGGAGGAGACAATGCCCACAGAATGCCCCAGAGAGTAGAGTCCGGCCCATGGGGGAAAGTAAATCCTCCCTGTTGGACCTGGGACCTGTCTGAGGGGTGGTGAGAGTCCCATCCAGGGAAATACGTGCAGGCTGGACTGTTCAGGCTAGTYGCTTCCAGCCTCAGTTCTGCCCCAGGTCCCGGCTGTCCTGAGCTTTGCCCATGGTCCCTGATCCTCCGTTTCCTATCTACTAAATGAACGCATTTCTGGCACCGACTGGCTTTAAAAGGCCAAGCGCCTTGAGGGTCTCAGGTGAAAAGCCGCCTTAGCGACAGTCATACAATAATTAATAAAATGTTTTGGCTGGGACTGGAGCAGAGGAAGTAAGCGGCCGCGGCCCGAGGTGACAGCTGGAGGGAGGGGCGGGGCGGAGCCCCGGGATGGGTGGGGAGGGGGCGGGCCGGGTGGCCGAGCTGGGGCAGAGTGAGGACGCACCCGCACTCGGCCGTCCGCTCGCGCGCCCGCAGCTGCCCCGCGTCATGAGCCGTGAGTGGGACCCCGCTTTCCCGTGCGTCCTCGCGGCCTCCCGGCGGAGCCTTGAACGCCAGGCTCAGCCCCTGTCTCTCTCCTCTGCAGGGAGGAGTCTCTCGCTCCGGTTTCCGCTGCTCCTGCTCCTGCTCCCGCCGYCTCCGGTCCTGCCGGCGGACCCTGGGGCGCCCGCACCGGGTAGGCGGCGCCCTCCGCGCCCAMGGGGAGCGCCCGGTGCTGCGCCCCTGGTTTGGTCCAAGCCCCTCGTCTCCCCTCCAGCGGGCWCAGCTTCCCCTTTCTGGGCAGCGCCTGCGAAAGCGGAGGGGGACGAGTCCGTTGGTGGGAAGGAGACCCCCGGGGATGTGGCCGTGGCTGGGGGACTACCAGGCTCTTTTCGCGGGACAGGGGATGGTAGGCAGGGAATCGTGCCGGCGGCAGAGGGGCAGCAGGGACAGCTCCTCTCCAGACCCTTTACCTGTTCTGGGCCCCAGCTGTGCAAAAGCCTGCTCCCCCGGCTAGCCCGCTGTTTCCTGCAGGGGCCTCTTTTGCAGGAAGCGCTGAGGCAAAAGCTGGCCGACCAACGAGTTCCCTTTCTGCAGCCTCTAATTTTCTGGGAAATTATCCTAATTCCCAGCCCCAGTAGAGAAGGTGTCCCCTGGTGAAGACCCCACTATATCAGCCATTCCGAGAGGATGGRAGGTGGACATTCATTTACAGAGCCAGGATTCTCTAACCGGGGTTTAATCCTCCCTCACCTATGAGGTCTCCATTGAGCAGATGAGAAAACTGAGGCTTAGCAGGTGCAGACACTCCCAGGCTCACATAGTACATGGCGGGCTCAGGATTTGAACACAGGACTCTCTGACTCCAGGCACTCTGCAAAGTCTTTGCACAGAAAGCTCCCCTTACYGGCTGCTGGCAGTGGGCCCCTGAACTCTTTTGATTTTATCACCAAGAACTATGGGGAAAGTCAAGTTCTAAGCAGTTCCATCCCTCCCTCCCACAGGCATGAGCCAGGTGAAGGAATTCACTTCTCATCCAGCCAGTCTTCCTCCTCCAGCTTATACTGTGTGTGTGTGTGTGTGTGTGTGTGTGTGTGTGTGTGTACCTTTGCACACTCAGAATGCAGCTACCCCCACCACCTGCCTGGCCCATCCTTCTCTGAGTTCCCATTTCCTGTATGTAAAACGGGACTAAGAAAGGACAGGAAAGGAGGAGGGTGGTCTCGCTTTCTGCCCCGATGCTTTAGGAACTTGGTGCTCAGAGGAGAGAGGAACGGTTTCTGCATGGGCTGTGAGCTGGACCAGGTCTCTGGTTGAGTCGGTGGCATTGGGGAAGCCAAGGAAAGGATGGAGGCCCTAGGAAAGGATTTGGGTCAGCAAAAACCTGGTTTGGGGAAAGAGGAGAAGGAAGATCCATGTGGCCAGCACTTTACAGTTTACAAAGGCTTGCTGTGGGCATCAACTTCTGTGGTATTCACAACAGAACCGCCAGGGAGATGTGTTTGGTTCATTCTACGGAAGAGGGACTGGAGGTCCAGAGTGGTGAGCCCACTCGTCTGAGGCCCCACAGTGAGCTGGCAGAGCAGCAGCCTGACCAGGCTGTCTCCCCGATCTATTTTTCTAGTCCCCAGATGAGCCCAGCCCTTTCTCTAAGGCCCCATCTGACCCCATCCAGGCCTCTGGGTCCAGCCTCTTTCTTTGCTTGTGCCTGTTGTGGGGGATGAGATGGAGTCCTTCTTGGGGGGCAAGGCTGTGCCAGAGGATCCATAGTGCTCKAGTTTATCCCTGTCCACTCCTGGATTTTGCTTGGTATCATCTTCCTTGCTAGGACAGAGCACTGATGACCAAAGATGCACAAGAAGCCACAGCCTGAGCCACATATGTATGTATAGTTTTAACTTTTTCTACCTGTTAATCATAAGTGTTTCAACAGAATTGCTCTCTTCATTCCTGAGGGCTTACTTCTGTCAGTCTTTGGCTGGGGCTGGGAGACATAGGCTGGAGGAGTGCACAGTCTGATGGGAGAGACAAATGCTAACAGCGGGTTATCCAGGGGATCAAGGGCCATGGCTTAGGAACGCAAGGGGTGGGGCTTAAGAGTAGTGGGGGGGGGGAGTAGTTGCCTCTTAATGTGAGGAATTGAGGAAGGCTTCTTGGAGGTGGTGACATTTGAACTGGACTTTGAAGGAGGTGGCAGGTGGGAGAGACACCAGGACCACGGTGAAGCACTACAAAGGTCTTTGTGGTAGAAGCAGTGGCATGAGCCAAGGTGCAAGGAACTGAGAGGTAGATGGGAGAGTAGGGARCCATAGGACCTGAGGCAGGTGCTAGATGACAGGGCCTACAGATGCAGGATGAGAAGCTGGGACCAGAGTTGAGGGTCATTGGGAGTGAGAGAAAGAGGATGGATGAATGACTTGAGGCAGGACTGGAGGYCCAGGAACCCAGTCAGAGGGCCAAGAAACCCAGCAAGGCTCAAGGAAAGAGTGGATGGCCGATGGGGTGCAGGGTAGGAGATTTGGATGCCCTGTGAGTAAATTCAAGCCCAAGCTACCCGGGCATCTGCCCCAGGAAGTTGAAGTCTGTGGCTTTCTAACCCCAGAGGAGGTCAAAGGAGACAAGAAATGAGAAGACCAGGCTGCAGACTTACCCAAGAGGGCAGGGGTCCGCAGGGAGTATGGCTTCTGCTCTATGTAGGGAAAGAGATGGGGCCCAGCTCGGGGTGGGGGGGAAGGCTGTGTCGGGGGGGCTTTGTAATACTCAATTTTATTCCCTCCAGCTCCCGAGTTTGGCTTTGTGACCTCTTCCTAGGTAGGGATAGATCGGGCACGACCTGATACTCGAGCTGTGTGCCAGGTGGGGCAGCCAGGGCCAGCTAACCTTGGCATGTGGGGTGGGGGCCCAGCCTGTGCTGGCTCTCCCTCTGCCTGCAGCCTGCCGCTCCCAATCTCCAGGACCAGCTGGGCCTGTGGGCAGGAGGGCTTCCTCTCTAGCGGGGCTCCTCCAGCTGCCKGCTAGGCTGTGAGGGCCTCGAGCTGCCAGCCCAGCGAGGTGTAGGGCTGGCCCAGGCCTGGCCACTCGGGGCCAGTTTTTCCCTTTGGCTGTCAGGCCCGTGGATTTCTCTAAATATTATTCTTAGGGGATTTGGGTGCAGCCTCTTCTCTTGCTGCCTGACGCCTCCACATCCTGGAGGACTTGGTGTTCCCTGGCTGTGTCTGTCTCCTAGTCACGCTCAGCCCTGTGTCCAGAGCCCCAACTCTTGGGCTGGGGGCATTTTCTTGCCGAAATCCTCAGAAGGGCTCTGGAGCCAGGTGGTCCTGGACAGTGGTTGTCTGCGGGAACATAGCCCGGCTTGGCCTCCAGGCCCGTGTGTCTRTGGGCAGCCTCAGGGTCTCTGCCCTCAGCGAGAGTAGGCTGTAGAATTCTCTGCTGATAGGATGTGGAGATGACATTGATGAGAGTGGTGGAGAGAGCTAGACTGACTCCACCTACGTGTGTGTGTCTGTGGGGTGTAGGGAAGGCTGCCTTTGAGCTGCCTGCTCCATCMCCTCAGTAGGACATACAAGGAAAACAAGGCCCTGAGTGTTCAAGGGACTTGAAGACCACACAGGGCACACAGCCAGCAAGAGTAGTAACTTTCTAATTTCCCTTTCCTGTATACCTATGTGGAATACCTGGCCTGTGCTGGGTGAGGGAGATTCAAGGTGAACTAGACCAGTGCCTCACCTCCCCACTTGGAGACCTTGATGGAGGGGTGTCCTGTATTGATCACAGAGCTGGAATGGAATGAAAACATGCAGGATTGAAGCTAGACTCAAGGAAGTCTTCCGTATGAATAGGTCCTGGAGGTCTGGTTGCATCAGGAGATGGCGATCACTGGGGTCTTGGTTTTGCACATTCAGGATTTTCAAGGTTTATCTTGAARGAACAGGGACGAACCTACCTCACCAGTGGTCATTCCCAGCTTGTGGATCCAAGTGACTCTCCTTTCCCTTTCCTCCCCARATCTAGACCTGGGCACCTCCAGGAGTGGGAGGGGAGGTAAGGGAAGAGAAAGGGCTTCAAGCCTTGGCTCTGCTACTTGGAAGCCAAGGGGCTCCGGCAGGTCTCCAGCCTCCTCTGGGCCTGTGTTCCTCATTGTGCAATGGGGAGGCCTCCCGCTCCTAGGGAGTGCTGGGAAGATAAATGGGTGTAGGAATGTAAGGTCATAGACTTGCTCAGCTACAGCCCTGGCTTCCCAGCCCTGCGGTGACAGTCCAGCTGTGGTCAAGCAGCACCAGTCTCCTCCCTGACACCCTGGGGCTCCAGGGCTGTTGTCTTCACTGGGCAGGAGTTTTCTTGCCCGGGGAAGCTGGTGTTTATGTAAACAGCTTGGGGAGGAGAAAGGAGAGCTGGGATGGGGAGGGAGGGAGGGGTCCTCCTGGCAGGGGCGAGGCCTTGTGTGGGCAGCCACTGAAGGTCCTGAGCGCCCAGGAGGGGCAGAACTGGGGGCACAGCAGGAGGCCTTGCCTCTAGCTGCGGAGGGTAGGCTGCGAGGGTGAAGGCTAACCTGGGAGTGGCCAGTCTCCTCATGCCCTTTTATTAATTCCACAGACATTTGTTAAGCTCTGGCCACCTCATCTGGCTCCCTGAGTGACCGGATCCCCCTAGTTCCTGGGCTGAGCCTAGGCTGTGTGCCCAGCCTGGGTGGGGAGGAGGACCCTGGGAAGGTGTGGCCCCCTCTTTTGGAAGCTTGTGGTGGAGACCAGCCAGGAGGAGGGAGAGTGGGAGGAGTCAGAGTGGGGACATTGGGGGGAGCTTTGGAGGACAGGGTGAGGGCTCCAAGGGAGGGTCCAGTTGATGGGGAAGAGACTTCTGGAGGATGAAAACCTGGATGAGGATGGAGAAGCCTTTGGTTGTTGGGTGGTGAGGGAGGGGCTGMGGCAGCCTGCTGGAGTTTCAGGACCCTGCAGAGAACCCTGCTGTGGTGGAAATGGGGACCTGGAGCCCGGGGAGGCTTGGCCTTAGCCCCATGYCCCCTGAGTGAAAGGACTGGACCTCTGGTGCTAGAGAGCCTGGCTATCACYGGGAGCTGGGCAGTGGGGAGCTCCAGGGGCTACTGGGCAGGTGAATTGGGCAGGAGGGACCAAGGAGGAGAATCCCGGCAGGGAGGGGGACCAGACTCCTGAGCCAGCTGGAGTCCTGATCCTGAGCCCCATTGGCCTTCCTGGGTCTGTGGCCATGGGAAGGGGAGGCCCCTTCCCTGGGTCCTGCCTGCCAGGTCTGCCTGTGGCAGCCTGATAAGGCCTTTCTGTCCAGCCTTCTTCCCCTAGGCCCCTTCCTCCTACACCCCCGCTGGCCACAGAGATGCCATTGTGAGGCTKCGGGGCGTCACTAGGGCTTAAGCAAAACGTTTTGCATGAGTCTTGCTATTTTTTCTTGTGTGTATGTGGGGGATGCCGGGGGCCCTCTCAGAAGGCAGTTTGGGTGGGGGGCAGGCAGCTGCCCAGGCTAAACCCCATGCTGTGAAGAGAGGCCATGGAGACTGGAGGGCCAGGACTTGCYCAAGGTAGTGCCCTTTGACCCTGGCACCCTGCGCCAACTGACCGTCTCACACCAGTTGCTCTTACTCTTGCTAGCCTCTTGGCCCCCGCTGATCAGTTGCACAAAGAGTAAGAGTTCCCTATACCATTGGCTCCGAGCCCAGTTAAAGAAGTGTCTGCAGAAGGGTTTCTGGTATTTTCTGCAGAAGGCCAGGAAAGGAGCCACCTGCCAGGAGCCAGGAGTCCAGGGTCTACCTGGTTCTGCTGTGTGTCCTTGGCCAAGTCTCCACCTCTCTCTCAGCCTGGGTTTCTCCTGCTGAGCAGGCAGGGGGGACTCTGTGAGGCAGGGGGGTGGGGTGAACCTGAATAAGCCTCAAGAGTCTACCTTTGCCACTAAAGAAGCACTGAGGTGGTGTAGACTTGAGCAAGGTCAGGGTGGGTGGCCACAGGGATCTGGATTAGATGCAGGGAGGAACTTGGGGGTTTCTCCAGGAGGAAGGAGGYGGCTACCGAGCTCCACTCACTCTCTCTGGAGACTTCGCTGGCCATGTCTCTCCTGTTCCCTTGGTCCACGACCTTCCTCAGGATCTTAGGGTGCAGACAGGACCCTGACAGGTCAAGACTGGGCCTCTCAGGAATGGGGGCTGAGGCCTTTGGGGCGTTGGAGTTTCCCTTCTCTCTCCTGTGCACACTCTGTCCCCAGGGTCTGAAAAACTTCTTTCCTTGGACTTGCTGTCCAGCCAGCGGGGGCRGTGGGGGAGTGAAGGGGAAGGCGTGGTCTGGTGTGACCGTTGTCTGCTGTCCTCTCTGGCTTTCCATTTTTCTGGCCTCAGTTTCCCCTTCTGCAAAGTAAGCATTGTGATGGCAGATCTCATTTTTCTAGTGTCCAGGTGCTCAGAAATTGGGGGCTAGTTGGGAAGAACACCCCCATCTCTGTCCCCTYTCTGAACCCTACAAACCCYGCTGTTGGTGCTGGGCTCTGACTYGGCAGGAAGTGATTGCTCCCTGAGCCTGTGGCCACAGCCTCTTATCAGCTATTTCCTAGCCTTGGCCACAAAGCTGGGGGTCTGGACTCTGCCGCTGCCCCCTTTGGTGGCAGCAGGGAGGAAGAGGGGACTATCCCTTGGGACCCAATGTGGGCTGCAGCTGGGCCTGGGAATGCAGAGTGGGGATTTATGCTCCTGGTTGTGGGAACTGGGGGGAGGGCACCTTAGGGGACACTCAGCGTCCACAGARGGGCTACCCCTGATTTAGGACAGAGCTGCAAGCCAACTSCATTCCTCGGGCYCCTCACTCCCCCTYAGGGCTGGACGGGTTRGGAGACCCCACATGGTCTTTGACACGTGTTTCTCACCCGCAGTGAACCCCTGTTGTTACTATCCGTGTCAGAACCAGGGTGTCTGTCTCCGCTTCGGCCTGGACCGCTACCAGTGTGACTGTACCCGCACCGGCTATTCCGGCCCCAACTGCACCATCCGTGAGCCAGGCCCCCACCCCCACCCCTCCTCTCCTCAGCTTTCTTCTGCCCCTGGACCCTCCTCCCAGACCCCATTTCCTGTCCTCATCTCTGTCCATGGCCACCTTCTCCTTCCTTGCCTGGCTSTACCCTCTAGCTGGCCTGGCTTCTACATGAGCTTTTGCTCCTGGTCTACCCACACTCCTTGGTTCTGGCTCTGTGGGAATTCTTTACCCCTCCCYGGCCCTGGCCCCTGGCCCCACATCTGGTTTTGGCCCTGTCATGTCTCCATCTTTACCCCTGTCCCACCAGTACTACTCTGTTCCCTCTGGGCCCTCATTCCCAGTCCCCACCTGCCACCTGGCTACTTCTGGTTCTGCCTGACTGACTGGCTCCCCCCCCCCCCACCCCTGCAGCTGGACTCTGGACCTGGCTCCGGAATTCCTTGCGGCCCAGCCCCACTTTTGTCCACTTCCTGCTCACGCACGGGCGCTGGCTCTGGGAATTTGTCAATGCCACCTTCATCCGAGACACGCTCATGCGCCTGGTACTCACAGGTGGGTGTGGGGCAAGGCCTCCCTAATCGGAGGAGCAAGAACTCCTGCCAGTTCTTGGGATTCTTGGCACCTGATAAAGGCAGCGGGCAGGGAGACTCTACAATGCCAGAGAAAACAAGCCCCAACCCAAGAGGAGGAGGGAAGGAGGTACAGCTGGGGTGTGAACACTGTTGTCACCATTATTTTCACCCTGCAGTGCGGTCCAACCTTATCCCGAGCCCTCCCACATACAACATAGCGTACAACTACATCAGCTGGGAGTCCTTCTCCAATGTGAGCTATTACACCCAAATTCTGCCTTCTGTGCCCCAAGACTGCCCAACGCCGATGGGGACCAAAGGTAATGGGAAGGGGTGAGGAGCTGGACCTGGGGATTGTATGGGGCGCTCAGTTCTCCTCGTTGGGAAAATGGAGGTAGAAGAGCAATTATTGACCCATTTCACTGATGGRTAGACCAAGGCAAGACAGCTGACACATCCAGAACCAGGGATGAGGACAGGAAAGGATAGCAAAGGGTTAGGCCTGAGGTCACCTAAAAAATGTCAGAGGCAGAGAGAGACCAATGTTTCCCTATTTCCAGGGTACCTCTCTGCCTGAACCTTATCTACTGATGAGGGGGACTCTGCTGGGGTAGGGGTGACTTGATGAGGAAATGTGGGGAGGAGTGAGTGGGGTGTTGTGTTGGGTCCTAACTTTGTGCTGGTTCTTTACTAATGTAAATCATTTCCCATGCTTTACCAGGGTAAAGTTCAAATAAGGTTAGGGTTTTTCTTTAGTTGTCCAAGACCCACCTGGCCTCATTGGCAAAGGTCTTCCTTCTAAGACCTTCTTCTCACTCCACCCTTAATGATCCAGAAGCCTGGGGGTTACTCAGTTCAGAGTTMTTCAGTTCAATTCCGCTTCAAGAACTAGAAAAGGAGAGAGGCTCGTCATTCCACCACKGCTGTTGCTCCAGTTCCCACCACATGGTGTCGCTGCTGAAGCTGTTTCTGTGCAGCCTGGTGGTTGCACTTTTGCAGGTTTCAAGCCTTGCATAGATATTGAAGTCCTGGCTTGGGTGTCCGTGGCTTTCATGCACATGGTTAGCTACCATTCCCAAAGCATAACTTATTCTCCCAGCACAGTTGGGTCTTGCCAACACTGCTGGAATCAATTTTTGCCCATTGTCAATGAGTGAGGATTCCAAATTATGGGTCATGAACCACTCCCTCTAACTTTCCTTTTGGTGAGCTTCSTTTGGGGTACTTGATATCTCTTTCTGTCAGAGAAATCCAGCTGGCTATGTCAATTCAAAGAGTTTCCATTTTTTATAATCTTCAACATTGAGTCTTATATGAGGTGTGGTGACGGGACACCTTTATCAGAACATTAAAAAAAAAAAAGAAAGAAAACCAAAAAACTATTATTCCTTTCTGTGAGGGGGATTTAGTGCCAACTCATAATTAAGGACTCTCGGTATGTATTCTCATAATGACAGGCACCTGCTTCATGATGATTTTTTTAAGCCTCAGACAGAAAGTCTGRCATCATTTAAATTGGTTGGCAAACTAAAAAGCCTGCCAACCAAATCCAGCCCACCCTCTGTTTTTGTAAATAAAGTTTTATTGGAACACAGTCACATTCATTTGTCTCTGTGTTATCTTTGGCTGCTTCCCTGCTATTTGGTTTCCTACAAAACTGAATAGATGAGACAAGAGACCATGTGGTCTGTGAAGCTTGAAAAAAATATATATATTTATTTTAAAGTTTGCTGACTCTTGGTCAAAAAGATTCAACCTCACTAGTTCTCTGTCATGATTACATCATCTTAGGAAGTTCCTGAAATCCACTTACAAAATAGGTATCATTTGCCCTATTTTACAGATGAAGAAATTGAGGTTCAGAGAAATGAGATGATTTATCTATGTTCACATAGTAAGAAAGTGGCATTACCAGTTGCAAACACAGGACACCTTGCTCCAGGGMCAGGAATTGAGTCCTGTGTGTGGAGGGGGGTGGTTAATTTTTCATTATGGAAAAATTTCAAATATACACAAAAGTCAAGAAGAAGGTATAATGAACTATGTACCCATTCCCTAGTTTCAATACTACAGCTTTCYAATCATATTGCATCTATTCCCTGTTAGTTTTCATTGAAGTATTTAATTTTTACTTAAAGCAGATTCCAGATATCAGTTTCAAATATCACCCATAAATACTTCTATGTCTTTTGACAGAGAGGGTACAGGGACTGCTGTGGGTGGGGAGGTGGTCCAGAGGAGGTTGCTCTGGGTGTCCTGCTTGGGCCAGTTTGCTTGGTGAGCCCAGAAATCCCTAGGTCAAGAAGACCCAGACAGGATCCGGGCAGCTATATTTCCTACCTCTGCAACCAGGGAAGAAGCAGCTGCCAGATGCCCAGCTCCTGGGCCAACGCTTCCTGCTCAGGAGGAAGTTTATCCCTGACCCCCAAGGCACCAACCTCATGTTTGCCTTCTTTGCACAACACTTCACCCACCAGTTCTTCAAAACTTCTGGCAAAATGGGTCCTGGCTTCACCAAGGCCTTGGGCCATGGGGTGAGTAAGTAAGAGGGGCTCAGGACTGCTGTGAACCTATCCTGGTACCTGCAGGTCATTACTGGTGGGGCAGGACTCAGGTGATGTGAGTGGACCTCTCTCTGYCCTCAGGTAGACCTGGGCCACATTTATGGAGACAGTCTGGAACGCCAGTATCACCTGCGGCTCTTTAAGGATGGGAAACTCAAGTACCAGGTAGTGCTGGGCCTGGGGGTGGGGCGGGGGGAAGGGTCTCCCATGGTCTTCCTGGCATAAATTACTGATGGGGAAGGGTGAGTCATGTCCACAGAGGGCCAGCCATGGGAGCTGGAGATGTGTGCCAGGAGAAGAGACAGTAAGTAAACCCTGGGAAGGAGTGCCAGTCACGCAAACCAAATGAGGAACATTCCTGGCACCCTGTGTCCTGCTGGGAGGGGTTTGGTTGTCTGTCTCAAACATTTGTAGTTTGTATTCATTCATTTAATTTTTCCACAATATTAATTGGGCACCATGATGTGCCTTGCACAAGTGATTGAGCAGTCCTGTCATCAGGGAACCTCAACCTGTCAGGGGCCACAGACATAAATGCTAGGAGGTGAGTTCCATGAGGACTTCCCGTCTAAACTAGCAATGTCCTACAGAAACATAATGTGAGCCWCATAGGTAATTTAAATTTTCTAGTTGCCCCATGAAAAAGAAGCAGGTGTCATAGATTTTAATAATATATTTACTTGATATGGTATTTCTGAATATTATCATTTCAACATGCAATCAATACAAAAATTATTAATAAAGTTCTCAGCCAGGCACAGTGGTACACATCTGTAATCCTAGGTACTCAGGAGGCTGAGGCAGGAAGATTGCAAGTTTGAGGTCAYGCTAGGCAATATAGGGAGTGYCTGTCTCAAAATAAAATTTTAAAAAAGGTCTGGGGATGCAGAAGTGGCAGAGTACTTGCCTAGCTTGCACAAGACCCTGGGTTCWACTCCTGGTATTGAAAAAAAAAATCTTACATTACTCTTTTCAAACTAAATCTTATAAAATCTGATGTATATTTATACTTRAAGAATATTTTAGTTTGGATGCTAAATTTTCACTGGTAATATCTGTATTTAGATTCTATAWAATTTATAGTTAAGTAGATTCACATAGCCAAATTGTTCTCAACATWCCTAAAGATTTTACAATAGTTGCAGTATCAGTTTTAAAATTTATATCTTAATCCAGTAAAAATCTAAATAAAATTTAAATTAGATTCAGTTCTTCATTCACGCTAGCCAAATTTCTAGTACCTAAGATCTGCACATGGCTAGTGGCTACCATATTGGATTTTGTAAATCTAAATGAGCAAAAACCAAAGCAAAGTTTTGAATCTTTTGGACTAAGAACAGTAGTTGGCATATAGTAATTCATCAGTGTGTATTTAATGAATGAATGAATTAATTAATTAATGAAGAAACTGCCGTGTAACCATTTACACTGGCGACAGCTGCCACTAAGGAGAAGCTGTGGGTGCTTCTAGAGTGTTCAGAGGCTGGGGAAGGCTTCCCGAGGAAGTTAGGAATAAAGAGAGAATTGCATAAAAGGGAGGAGGGATTAGGGAGGCCAAGCAGGGGTGAGGGCTTTCCAGGTAGAGGTTTAGTGTGTGCAAAGGCTTGGAGGCAGGAAGCAGCCTGGGTGACTTGGAGGGGACGTAAGATGTTTGCTGAACCCAGCAATCAAATGTAAGATTCCCAATGAGGGTGTTTATATCTGCAGGGGGCTGTACTAAGGATTTCTGATTTCTAARATCAGAGAGAGGACTTGGAAGGGTTTCAAGCCTGCGAGGGATATTAGATGTGAGTCTTTTAAAAGGTGGTGCTGAYTTCAGTGTAGAGAATGGACTATGTGGGGTAAAGAGTGGACATAGGGAGCCCATTTAGGGAGTGGAATCTGGGAGGAAGATGAGGGTGGGTTGGACAAGGGTGGTGTTCGCAGAGTTGGCGTGCAGGAGCCTGATTTGAAGAGAGGTTCAGGAGGTAGACTTGACAGCCTTGGTAAAGGTCAGGCAGCAGCYGAAGTGTGGGGGTGGGGACTTGGGTGCTGCGGATGCCCCGCCCCCAGGTTGCCAGGCAACTCCATCCCACAGGTGTTGGATGGGGAGATGTACCCGCCTTCAGTGGACCAGGCTCCGGTGTTGATGCACTACCCACGGGGYATCCCGCCCCAAAACCAGATGGCGGTGGGCCAGGAGGTGTTTGGGCTGCTTCCCGGGCTCATGCTCTATGCCACACTCTGGCTGCGCGAGCACAACCGCGTGTGTGACCTGCTGAAAGCCGAGCACCCAACCTGGGATGATGAACAGCTCTTCCAGACCACCCGTCTCATCCTCATAGGTGAGGCCTCCGAACAAGCCCTGCCCAGGATGGCCACCTGCTCAGTCCTGAGACACAGGGCCGGGGTTAGAATCCTGGCTCTTCTGCTTACCTGCCGGGAAACTGCTTGCAGGCTGCTCCAGGTCTGTGAGCCTCAGTCCTGGAATCTGTACTTGGGGGTGGATCATGATTGAAAGGATCTGCAGAGTTGATGAATGGGATGCACCTAGTAGGTCTGCAGAGAATGAGTGACTGTGGTGTTTGATGATGAGCTGAACTGAGTGACACACAGCACATTTGATCAGCAGCCCCCCAGATGCACACTTGGTGTCCCCAGCACACACAGGGTCAAACCCCTGCCTGCCCAGCCTTCAGGCATCTTCCTGTTTCCTGCTCTGCATGTGTCTGCTTTTCTGGAGTTGGGCAGCTTCTAGGTGACTCAGGGACAGGATATTTTTGTGTTCCCTACGGGGGCGAGTCTGCAACCTAAAATGTCAGAAGGCTTCTTGCCTGGGAGCTTAGCTCCTCACACTCCTGTCCAGACCATGGTCTCTCTGAGTCACCAGTAGCCAGCCCCTGCCCCCACTTCTGGGCACTACTGGGCATGACTGGTCCCAATTATAGTGCCTAATTTACTGGAGCCTGGAAGGCAAGAACTGCCTCAAGAGGGTGGAGGAGCTGATTCCAAAGTCCCCGCCCTGAAGAGACCTTGAGCAGAGAGGGCAAGAGTAAGGCTGGAGGCCGCTCATCGCACTAGCTGGTTCTGAAGGCCAAAGGCGGGAATCCTAGGGCACTGCACATCCAGGGCTTCATGTAACTCCACAACAGTTAAACATTATTGGTTTGAACCAGATAAGATTACACTTGTGAAAATTAAGACTCAGAGAGATTAAATGAATTTTTCACTCAGCAGAGGGACACTTGAAATAGGTCTGATTCAATGAATATTGTTATCCTGAGATTAGTATACATTTTACAGATAAGGAAAGAGAGATTAAACGAATCTTCAGAGAGATTAACTATCTTGGCCTGAGTCTACAAATGGTGAAGTTAGGATTTGGACCCAGGTCTGCTCATTCCAAATTCTGTGGCTCCTGGTCAGWTTACTAAAATCCAATGTGTGTAATGGCTAATTGGTCAAACGATTAGTTTACTTTAATATCTAATTGGCCAGTTTTCATTTTGTTATRGAATGTTCAATTTGCTTCTTCCCTGATATTTACTATGTAGCTGGTTCCTGAGAGGGAAAAGGAAAATAATCTATCCATAAGAATTCTTATATATAAGAACCTATAAGAAAKGAATGTATTTTTTTCAAACATATTCAGGGAGAGGCTCACCTTCTGTCCTTAGGGACCCTCCTTTGGTTGCTGTAGCAGCTGTCGGGGGGGGGGTCTCTTTGAAGTCCCCTCCTCCATAGAGGGTGCCAGTATAGAGACTCCTCACTAAGTCGAACTCATCTACTCCGACCTATTTTAGTGGGCTGTGGGAGGGTGGTCACCCACGAGTTGCAAAACCAAACCTTGGACACCTCCTTTGCATGTTCAGCTTACGTGGGACTAGAACTTCCCTTTGGGATGTGGGGGTAGTGGTGTTTCTGTCTTGGGACCTTGGTCAAACCTGAGAAATAGACAGTTCTATTTTCATATCCTGTTTCAAGGAGACAAAGTGGAAGTGGCCAAATAAAATTAGCAACAATAAGGAGACCATAGCAAGCAGTACTTTTTGTGAGTGGGCATGCTTTGCCAGCCAGGTATCTTGTCACTGTGCTCTGCTGACCCRATTTCTAATCCTCCCCTGCGCAGGGGAGACCATCAAGATTGTCATTGAGGATTATGTGCAGCATTTGAGTGGCTACTTCCTGCAGTTAAAGTTTGACCCAGAGCTGCTGTTCAGAGCCCAGTTCCAGTACCAAAACCGTATTGCCGTGGAGTTCAACCAGCTCTACCACTGGCATCCGCTCATGCCCGACTCTTTCAAGGTGGGCTCCCAAGAGTACACCTACGAGCAGTTCTTGTTCAATACCTCCATGCTGGTGGACTACGGGGTMGAGGCCCTGGTGGATGCCTTCTCTCGCCAGAAAGCTGGCCGGGTAAGCCTGGGAGCGGTGTGGGTGGGCTCAGGAGGGCTCTAGGCTCCATAGACCTGGGTTCAAATCCCAGTTCCTTCCCCTGTAAAGTGGGGGTGTTGTCACTTTAAAAGGATGATTTATGGGCATTCCTTCATGAATTGTCTTGTTCATTTGTTCATTTGATAACACCAGACATTATTAATGCAGGTGCTGAGGATATACTGATGAACAAGACTGATGTGGGTCTTGGGTCCTTGTTCCTTTGGCATTTTACACCTCAGCAAGGGATAATCATCCGATGACAATTCAACATTATTTGAGCCCTTGCTGTATGTGAGGCATGGTGCTCAGTACTGTTCTGATGTAATTAGAATCATACTTGCAATTGAGGAACAGGACATCCAGGGTATAGTAACATGAGAAAAACCTTGCACATAGTAAGTGTTTTTTAGATCCACACTTCTGTCATGGACTGAACTCTATCTTCCCTCAARTTTGTACATTGGAATCCTAACCCCTCAAACTTCAGAATATTTGGAAATAATGTCTTCAAAGAGTTGATCAAGGCTAATGAGGAAATTAGRGTGGGCCACAATCTAATATGATTGGTATTCTTCTAAGAAGAGATTAAGATTTGGACCCGCACAGGGGGAAGACTGTGAAGATGCAGGGTGAAGATGGCTATCTGCAAGCCAAGCAGAAAGGCCTCAGGAAAAACCAGTCCCCCAGCACTTCTGTCTTGGACTTCTAGCCTCCAAACCCTGAAGAAATAAATTTCTGTTGGTTGAGCCACTCAGATTAGAGTCACTCAGATTGTCTTGGTAGGAAGCTGTGGCACCATATAGACGTGGACTTCCTTCTGGGATTTCAACTGGAGTTAGCACATGCTGCCACCAGCCTATGGTGGTTGGTTTATGGCCTCTGTTCTTTGTGGGGACACAGATGTGAATAGAGACAATAACCCCTGTGTGAGACTGTGTGGTTTCCAAAGAATTTATTAAGAATGACCTTGACGATGCCCGTGAAAGACAAGRCAAAAGGGCAACAGAAATGCACTGACTCTCAGGATATTCCAAAGAGCATGAGAAGTGATCAAATCTGGCTTTCCCTGAAAATCATCTCCCAAGGCCACTCTCTGGGGGGGGGGGGTGACCGTGTGACCAACACTCCAACTGCTTTGCATCTTTTCTGTCATTTATTTTACCATAATCTATCAGGTAGATGCTTTTACCTTCCCCATTTTTGCATATGAGGAAACGCAAAGTTAGCTCAAATAACTGCCCAAGGTCCCTATGTTTGTCTGCTAGGACTGGCGTCACAAAGTCCCCCACAAACTGGGTGGCCTAAAACAACAGAAATGTATTCTTCCACTGTTCTAGAAACTAGAAATCTGAGATTGAGGTACCAGTAGGGCCAGGCTCTCTCTGAATGCTCTAGGGCACCCTCCGTTCCATGCCTTTCCCTGAGTTTCCGGYGGTTGCTGACATCCTCAATGCTCCTTGGCTTGTAGGTCTATCAGTCCAATCTCTGTCTCTGTTGTCACCAGTGTTGTCCCTGTGTCTTTATTCTCATTTTACAAGGATACTGGAACATAGACTTATTGGATTAGGGCCCACCCTAATCAAGTATGATTTCCTTTTAACTTGATGATTACATCTGTAAACACTACAATCTCCACTTATCAGTGAGGGATACCTTCCAAGACTCTCAATGGRTGTCTGAAACTTCAGATGGTACTGAACACTATATACGCTGTTTCTTCCTATATATACATACTTAAGATAATGTTTAGTTTATAAAATAGGCACAATAAGAGGTATATCATAATAGCTAATGATAAAATAGAATATCTATAACTGTAATAAAAGTATGTGAATGTGGTCTTCTCTGTCTCTCAAAATATCTTATTGTACTGCACTCGCCCTTCTGCAATGGATGAAGTGAGATGAATGACACAGCATATGATTCAGGGTTAGTTTTCCACAGAAGGGTTACTTGAACATAAGCACCCTGATATCGTGACAGTTGATCTGATAACCAAGAAGCTGTTAAGTGATTGACTAGCCAGGAGCTCAAAGTGTGGATATGCTGGACCAAGGGATGATTCACATCCTGGGCAAGACTGAGTGGGGGCTGAGCTAGATTTCATCATGCTACTTAGAACAGCACGCAATTTAAGACTTATGAATTGTTTATTTCTGGAATTTTCCATTAAATAGTTTTGGAGCAAAACTGGGCAAGGAGGCAAATGTATTCCAAATAAGGTCCCATTCATAGGCACTGCAGGTTAGTACTTCAGTGCACCTTTTGGAGGGACAAAATTCAACCTACAACAGTATGACAACTTCTTGTAAATGTTTGAGCTGGGATTGGTACCAGCCTCTGCTTCCTTTGTTCCAAGTCTGCTTTGCTTCAAGCTGTTTAGTTTCATTCAACTGTGCTTTTCTTTTTTCTTGTCCAATTATACTTGTTCGGTGGAAAACAGACCTGTCTCTTTAGCATTCACATTGTCATTTCATCGGAGCCGTAGAGTTTTCTTTAGACCAATGCTCCTTAAATACTATAAATAGGAATCTTTTTTTTCTGGAGACTTCTTTCCTTACCTCATCAGGTTATCTGGGCTTTGAACCTTATTTCTCTCCTTTTATACAGGATTATACCATGTGTTGATGTGACTCAAAGGAGTGGGGAACAGTGCAGCTTTTGAGAAACTGTAGAGGTCCACTTCAAAGCTGAGGAAGCTGAGAATCTATCTGAAGGGCATAGCATGGCAGAGCTAGGCCAGACCCCCAGCATCATGATGGGCTGAACCAAGCTCTCTGTCCTCGCTTGGAAAGAACTCATGAGGTTCTTTCCTAAGGCCTTATGCAGGCTCCCAGAGGGTCTGGCATGACTCTCAGACCAACAGCTGCGCTTGTCTCTTGGCAGATCGGTGGGGGTAGGAACATAGACCACCACATTCTTCATGTGGCTGTGGACGTCATCAAGGAGTCTCGAGAGATGCGGCTGCAGCCCTTCAATGAGTACCGCAAGAGGTTTGGCATGAAGCCCTACACCTCCTTCCAGGAGCTCACAGGTGAGCAGCCATTTCCCAGCCATAGTCCCTGCCCTGGAGGGACTTGTGGTAAAGTGAGGGAGACATCAGGGAAACAGAACGGGACAACACAGGTGGCTAGCACTGTGGCTGTGGGCATAAGGGGTGGCCAACGACCCCACTTGAGGAGAGAAGGTGACTTCAGCTGGTTTGAAGGATGAATAGGAATTTTCCAGATGGAAAATAGAGGGAGGAGCATTTAGGTAGGAAGAGCAAGAGCAATTAGCAGGGTGCCCACTGGGTAGAACAGTTAAAGATGGGACTTGGTGGTGGGGTGTGCATTGGTGCCAAACTGTAGACTCTTGCATCTTGGATTTCATGCTAAAGATTTTAAGTTTTATTCTGCCTCAAGGTTCCTCAATACTCATTAATGGACAGCTGCATAAGAATCACTTAGAAATGTTATTAAAATACCAAATTTGGCTGGGGTTGTAGCTCAGTGGTAGGGTGTGTCTTTAGCCTGCTCAAGGCCCTGGCTTCAATCCTCAAAACCAAAATAATCAAAACTCCACTTCTTGGGGCTGGGGTGGTGGCTCAGTGGTAGAGTGCTCGCCTAGCATGCATGAGGTGCTGAGGATCGATCGGCACTGGGTTCGATCCTCAGCACCACATAAAAACAAACTAATATATCCACCTAAAAAACGAAAAGATACATAAATAAATAGATATTTAAAAAAATTCACTTCTCAGATCCTCTTCCAGGGATTCTGGTGTTCAAGAATCTGCATGCATGTGTATATGTGCATGTTCTCTCTCTCTCTCTCTCTCACACATACACACTCACACACACACACCTTTTCCCCTAAGATTCTCAGATGTTGGAAACCCTTGTCACAGATGATGAGGGTGTGACATGCCCCCTGTACAGTGCCTTGTGGAGAACAGGAGGGAAGCCCCCTGCTGCCTTCCCTTGGTCACTGTCTGTGAACATTTGGGTCTCAGAGTGCATCCTGGGATCAGTGGATGAGTTCCCCATGATCCCAGAAAAGCAGTCTTTGTCATTCTTTAATCTCTCATGACAAATGGTCCAGAGGGCCACTGGATGTCTGTGTGAACTTGGACATGTTACATTGCACCCTTGAACTCTAGTATACAGAGGGGCTTGGACTAAGATAAGGTCTTAAAGTCTACCTGAGAAGGAAGCCACACAGACCGCACACTCTCTGTTGTAAAGACCAGGTATTTTGGGCCCATAGTTGGGGGATGAGTTGCTTGAGGTCACAAGCACTGTGGTGACAGATCTAGGTCCCTAGACTCTCTCTTCGGTAGCCATTCCTTTCCTAAACTCCATCCAGGATGAGGGTCAATTTGTACTTTTCTTTCTGACCCTTTCCCCCAATTCCAGAGAGAACWGATTTTGTAGGGCATCTGCTCAGTTGTTCAAATTTTGGAGTTTCCATTATCTCCAGAAAGAGATGGGCCTAGAAAGTTCCCTCCCAAGGTCAACCTCAGTGGCACTCTGACTCTGACTCTGGCTTCTCCCCGTGGTAGGAGAGAAGGAGATGGCAGCTGAGTTGGAGGAGCTGTACGGAGACATCGATGCTTTGGAATTCTACCCGGGGCTGCTGCTTGAAAAGTGCCTTCCGAACTCCATTTTTGGGGAGAGCATGATAGAGATTGGGGCTCCCTTTTCCCTTAAGGGTCTTCTGGGAAATCCCATCTGCTCTCCAGAGTACTGGAAACCCAGCACATTCGGCGGCGAGGTAGGCTTCAACATTGTCAACACGGCCACACTGAAGAAACTCGTCTGCCTCAACACCAAGACCTGTCCCTATGTGTCCTTCCAAGTGCCACACTCCAGTCAGGACAATGGACATGCTGTAGAGCGACCATCCACAGAACTCTGAGAGGGACTAGGAAGCAGACTTTTGGAGGGTAGGGCTTTGTGCTTGTCATTCTAGAATGCTGAGGCCAGGATTGATATTCCAAAATGGTGGTTTTGGGGTTTGGCATTTGAAGTGTTGGGGTTGACATGTAGAACTTTGGGTCTCTCCCCTTCTCTGGAATATGATGCTTTTTGTCACTCTAGAATGCTAAATTCCTTGTTGACCATTCAGAATGTTAGGAGTGGTTCTCATTTGGCCTGTCAGAACACTGGGTTTCTGGTTGACAACCTTGAATTTCAGATTTCTGGGAATATAGGCATTCTAGATTATAGAGCTCCTTATGAAATCTTCAATAAATTAGGGGGTTCTTATTTTGCATTCTAGAATCTGGGTGGCCCTCCAGAATGTTGATGGTATGATGGGTGATTCAGAATGTTGTGCTTCTGGTTGATGACCCAGAACAGAAGCTGGTCCTGACCTGAACGTCTAGACTGTTAATTTGATTAATTTTCCTGTTCAGTGAGATAGCCGTAGACCAGAAGGACCTAAGGACCAACTAGAATGCACTGCCTGAATGTGTTCTTGCACTGAGGGGCAAAGAAGTGGGGTGTTCTTCTTGGTACCCCCACTAGGAACCTGGTCCAAGGATATAGAGAGAACAGATGGGCTTTTCCATGCCATTGATTGGAAGCCATTCGAGCTCCGTCCCCATCCAGGTCTTGACTCATGGCAGCTGTTTCTCATGAAGCTAATAAAATTCTCTTTCCAAAGTTACCTGCTATGTATCTCTTGTGGTCTCATTCCCCAAGTGCAGAGATAACACCAAAGTGGCTTTCTTTTTGGCTCAAGCCAGGTGTACTAGAGGCTCAGCATGAGACTCTCCATGGGGATCCTTGGGGCTGACCTTGAATACACTTGAATACCTCGGTGCTTCATTTCTCCCTGTGGGTCAAGCACTTCCTTTTTTCTGGCCACTCTTCTAAAATAACCAATTCCCCAGCACTGGAGATGTCACATTCTGTTCCCACCAGTTGATTTAAACAACTTCCTCCCTGACAGAATAGACAACAGAGAGGAGGAGAGCACTACCGTGCACCAACTCTGTACACCTGATTCTTATTTATTTCAACAGTACGATGTGGGTGGAGGAATCCCCATTTCAAAGCAGAGGAAACTGAGCCTCAGAGTGGCCGAGTGACATGCTTGCCTCACAGGTGCCTTAGTCAGGCGTGGACTCCAGCTCCAGTGGAGTCTAGAGCCTGTGTTCTTCTCATCCCTGGTTTGACTCAGTGCCAGGCCTCCTGTTGCTTGTCTGGCTCAGGGTCAAGACCCAGGGTGGGTGTAACCTTCACCTTACACGCTAGCTATTCATTCAGTCACAAATGTTTATTGTCCTAAGTGCTTACGATGTGATGTGCCAGTTACTTTGCTGAGCTTCAGGATACACAGTGAATGATCATTGTTGATAAGGTTTCTGCCTGTATAGGGCTCACATTCCAGTGTGTGGGGGGGCAGGTAGAATAGCTAATAAATAAGAAAACAATGAGATAGGGATAAATGCAAGCTGAGTGTGACTTCCCTTCCCACCTCGTCTGCTTTGTCCTCGGAACTTCACCCTGGAGACCAGAGTTGGAGTGGCAGAGATCTGGCAGCCAGTTCCCTCTCCCTCCAGTTCCAGCCTGAGCYCTTATTAACCCTGGTACAGAGACCCTAGTGGCCAGGAAAGAGAGAGGCAAGGCCAGAGGGGTGAGGTAAGAAGTTGGAAAGGTCTGTGTGTGCCACATTTTGGACAACATTTTTCAGGAGAACCTTGGCCCAGAATCGACAAGGGAAATTAGGGCTGGGCCAACTATCTTATAGTCCAGAAAATTTTCATTTCTCTGTAGTTGGTTAGGGCTGCTCCAATCACGCCGTCCTGGCCCCGTTGCATGCAGAATTCTGCTCCCCCCRTTGCTCTGATGAGAAGGATCCTTTGGGTGCTGGAAGTAGGTGTGGTTGCTGTATCTTGTTCTTGTTGCCCAGAATCTGTTTTCCCTCTTCTAAAATCCCCTACTTCGCCATTTTCCGTGCCTTCTCTTATTAACTTCAGTCTTGTTCTATCAAGAGCATATCCTGGCCAAGGCATAGGTCTGTGAATGGATCCTGGGCTATTTCCCTGGCCTTGAACGTTTGCTCCTGAGAAGTGGTGTTGCATGGAGATGAAGGTGCCTGCGTCTCATTCATCCCTGCAGCTGGGATCTGAAAAGATTGTCCATTAGTTCCAAGATCCAGATTCCTGACCTTCTCAAGCCTTGACCTTTTCCTTTCATCCTGTGGGCTGCTACAAGGGTCTCTCTTTTGCTTATACCAGAGTTGATATCTGTTGCTTACAACCAAACCTTAATGGATGCAGGTATGGGTTGACAGAAGGAGTATAACGGTTCTGTGGGACTTTTTGTCAGAGACAACACAACCACACTAGTTTGGAAACAGTAGCCTCTGGTGGATTGGACAGCAGAGAGAGCAGGAAGGATGGGACATCTTGGCCATGGCCCAACAAGACACAGTAGCAGTTGGAGCCAGGTAAGGGCTGTGATGATGGTGGGTGRATGGGATGGGTTGCAGGGGGATTCCTCCCTTGAGCTGGACATGTGATTTTTTACAAATGGAAACATGTCAAGAGCACCCGGAAGGCTTCATCAGAATGAAGGCCATACTTTGAACACTCATTCCGAAGTTTTGGTTTGGTGAGTGTGATCGTTAGTTTTGTGTGTCTATTTGGCTGGGCTATTGTGCCCAGTTATTTGACCAAACACTAATATAGATGAGTCTGTGAAGGTATTTTTTGTAGATGTGGATAACCTCTCCTGTTGGTTGACTTTGATGGTTAATCTCGGTAATGTGGGTGGGCTTTATTTAATCCGTTGAAAGGCCTTCAGAATAAGAACCGWTTTTCTGGCAAAGGAGAAATTCAGCCTCACAACTGCAGTATCCACTCCTCCTAAGTGTCCCGCCTGCCATCCTGCCCTGTGGACTTCATACTTGCCAGTCTCAACAATTGTGTGAGCCAACTCCTAAAATTAAAGATATATCCATATCTATAGCTCTATGTCTCTATATCTATCTATCTATCTATCTATCTTTCTTTCTATCTAGCATGTATCTAATATGTTCCTTAATTATAGGAGAAACTTAGACTCCATTGGTTCTGTTTCTCTGGAGAACCCTGACTGACATATGGGTGATTCATTTAGGGTTCTTAGTGCAAACAGCATGACTTTCTCTATTCCTTTTAGGTAGGAAGGAATTTATTAAGGTCATTGCATAGCTCATGGAATCTTTAGGAGAATCCAGAGAATTAGGCTTGGAGGCTTTGCGCCTAGGAACAGTGGCCACTGGTCCTGTGAGGATGCCTCTGATGTTACCCCAAGAGGTAGGCACCTCTGATTATATCTTTACTGCCAAAACCTCCTCCTGCTGCCCACAAAGCTGGCAGCTATTATTGCTGCCCTTGCCAGAAGGTGGATTCTGCATGGTGCCTGCTTCTCAATTTGTTCTATTTAAAGTCATGTGTATTTTGTATTTGATGCGCAGAGCCTGGATCATGTGTTTATACTCCAGCTCCAAGAGAGGGTAGGGAAGATTGTTTTCTGACATGAGTCTTGGAGAGGAGGGACTCATAAATGTGAGAAATTTACCATATATAGGAAAGGTGTCCAAAGGAGCTGGGAAATATGAAAAGCCTGCCTCAGTGGGTCTGAATTTTCCTGGTTGTGTTTTGTCTCTGTGGCTCCTATCTTTAGACCACTGTTGATGTGGTAGCAGCTCCGTATGGTTGCAGGCAAAGAGCTTAGGAAGTGACATAGGTATAGAGCAGCAGAGAAGCAAAGGCTGTAAAGTACACATAGTTCATCTTCTAATAATGTCTGAGTAAAAAGTGTCAAGAATGTTAGACCTGCCTACAACTCACCTTTCTATTAGTTATGCTTTCCCTACAAAAATGGACTCAATTAAAACAGCTATGGGGGGCTGGAGATATAGCTCAGTTGGTAGAGTGCTTGCCTCACATGCACAAGGCTCTGGGTTCAATCCTTAGCACCACAAAAAAAGAACCGCCGCCCCCCTCAAAAAAAAAAAAACCAACTATGGATGTTTGACTAAGAAAAACTGAAACTTAAAGGACACTTTTATTGAGCACTATTAAGACCAGGGAAGCACTTTCCTCACTACCTTTCACTACCTGTTATTCTTGTTTCGTTTAAAGCTGGTCCCCCCGACCCCAGGCTTGGCCAAATATTTCTTTTGCTCCCAATCTTTATACTTTCAGTCAAAAAGGTTTTTGAGCCATCTGTATAACTGCAGGCTTGGTATTTCAGGTTTTAGGGCAATGTRGCAGTACATCCTTGCAGATTTCTGTGGCAGGTCCCCCCTCCCACTCTCATTGTGATATAATATATATAATAAGGTGCACTGATCTTAAGTACATACCTGGATGAATTTTCACATATGCATAAACCTAAGAAATCAAAATACAGAACATTTCCAGCACTTTAGAAGTTTCTTTTGTCCTCTTCTCTAGTCAACCCTCTCAAAGCTAACCAATATTCTGACTTCCATCACCACTGGTTAGTTTTGTCTACTCCTAAGCTTCATCTGAATACAGTCACACAACCTGTGCTATTTTGTGCCTTCTTTTGCTGAATATAATGTCTGTTGACATTCATGCTGCTGTGTGTGTCAGTAGTTTTATTTTCTTTACTGCAGTGTAAGTATTTAATATATCGCATAATTGATTTATCTAGTCCACTGTTGATAGATATTTGGGTTGTTTCCCTTTTTTGACTATTATGAATAAAGCTGCTTATGCTCTGGTTTTATTAAAACTCATCTTTTGCACACATTCATTATGGGTCATAGATCCTGTTTTCTATTCAAAATTCACTTCTGTTTTTTTTTCCTCTTGCTTTCTGGCCTAATAGAAGAGAAATGAAGGATTCATGAGTGTACACATGCCATTGGAGAAGGAGAAAGACAGCATCTGTTTGTTAGGAGCCTGCTGCACTTTACCTGCCCATTTCATTAGTGCTAACAACTCARTGAGTAGGGGTTCCTATTGCACAAGGAAAGTAATCGAGATAGAGAAAAATCAGTTGACTTGTCCATACTGCTACAAATTTGGGGAGATGGTAGTGAAATTTCAAAGTGTGGTCTTTTCCCACCGTGTGCCTCATCCAACTCATCCAGAAGCAGAATCACAGGAGGTTTGGGGGAGGGCACAGTGGTGTGATAGGCAGGGGTGACTCTTGGTGATTCTATCAATGAGCCTCACATGGAGCCCTCTGGAYCTTATCGTGCTGCCTGTGGTCATCCTTTTCCTCTGTGGATGACTGACATTTTCTTTCCTTTCCCATGACTCACTTTTTCCAGACTTGCCATCTCCTTTCCAATCTATGGCTCACACTCTGCATACCACAGTGTAGCCGGTCCCTTGAAGTCTGAAAAGCTGTGCTGTGTACCTCCCGTTCCCTTACTCTTCCCTCGCTCCCCTCCAGCCCTGATCGGTGGTGCCCAATTCAGCTCTGCMTTCCCCCCACCTTGGTGACCCTCAAATGCTTGCTCTTGCCTTGGTTCTTGGCTCTTTTCCCCATGGATGGGACTCATGATCTTAGTACCTTCTTCTCTTYACCCCATGAGTGAAGAAGAGAATCTAGCAGTTATTTTCCTTTTATTGTCATAAAATACATGTAATATAAAG